TTAATTTAAAAATTACTGTTTGATGATCTTCCCTCCCAGTGATGGAGCACGCCCCGGATCTTCCCTCCCCATGATGGAGCATGCCCCGGGTCTTCCCTCCCCGTGATGAAGCATACCCACTGATTTCATGAAGGAGCATGTTCTAGATCCTCGCTTGCCATGAAGGCGCGTGTCCACTGATCTTCCCTCGCCATGAAGGCGCGTGTCCACTGATCTTCCCTCGCCATGAAGACGCGTGTCCACTGATCTTCCCTCGCCATGAAGACGCGTGTCCACTGATCTTCCCTCGCCATGAAGACGCGTGTCCACTGATCTTCCCTCGCCATGAAGGTGCGTGTCCACTGATCTTCCCTCGCCATGAAGGCGCGTGCCCACTGATCTTCCCTCGCCATGAAGGCGCGTGCCCACTGATCTTCCCTCGCCATGAAGCAGCGTGTCCACTGATCTTCCCTCGCCATGAAGCAGCATGTCCACTGATCTTCCCTCGCCATGAAGCAGCGTGTCCACTGATCTTTCCTCGCCATGAAAGCGCGTGTCCACTGATACTTCAACAGCAAGATCATCAAAAAACAAATAACTTACTGCTTGGTGCTTGAAAACCCTCATTTTATTCAAACTGAGAATGGAGAGAAAGAAAAATAGCTGTTGAACCAGTAGCATGGTTTCCTTCCTTCTGTTTGGGTAAGAGAAATGTTCTTTATTTCCACCAACCACTTCTAAATTGTGGGCTGCAGTATCCCGTGAACTAAGCTCTCAAAAAGTTCCCGTCTATATTTCTGAGATGAGGTATTATGCACATTGTTTACATTGTTCGGACTATTATCCTCATCTTTGTCACCATAAGTATTACAACATTTCAACCATTTATTTCGGTCACTTGGGCAGACTGTTCTAGTTCCACATGCCATGTTTAATGGATGTCAGTTATCAGTTATCTCCTGTTAATTCCCCTCTGAAAGTTCTCCACTGCCTTAGCTGAGTATTAAACTCCAACTAGAACAGTCTATCCCAGTAAGCAAAATAAAGGGTTCAGTTCGACATTCCAACCACCTGAAGAAGGCCGGAGCATACAACGGCCGAAAGGTAATATATATAGCGACAAACATGAGGACAATAGTCCAAATAATGTAAATAATGTCTCAAAAAGTTATTAACAAGCATGCACATCACTGCCCTGCAAAATACATTCAAATGTTTCAGTTGGAAATTGAACTTGGGTCACCAATTCAAAACACAACATATTTATTATTAATAATTTGAATACATTCAAATTTATGCTATGGATCGTCTATCAAAACAGTCATTCAGTGCCTACATTGATCCAATTTTTAATCTTTAACCTTTCTGAAAATGGCTTTTTTTATCAAGCAAAACGTTTGTCCTGCCAATGCAGGTGACTCTTATTAATGAAAAATAGTGTGTTTAAATTTCATGTTTGTGTTTTCATATCGTGTTATGGCAACATCAAAAATTTTCTTTAGCAAAATCAACAAAGCTACCTCAAAAAAATATGCAGTAGAAGGGGAAGTAAGTCTTATTGTAAGCGTTCTTGAAAGCAAAGGAAATGTTTGTCGCAGATTAATTCCACAATGCAGAGAACAAATCACTGTAAGTTCAGACTCGAATATCGGGGCCAGAAAGAAATACCGAAAACTCGATTCACAGGTACTATCTCACAAATCCCAATGCACATAACCAATCCGAAAAATAACTCACTCACCGATGAACATGGTAACCAAAATACACCAGCTTTTTCCTCTCGATTCGAGAACATCAACTGCTTTTATCGGCCAAGCAGTTTTTTTCATTTGTTGACAACTGGGAGATGACGCTGAGTATTTTGCCTAAAAAAAAATACTTTTATAGAGACTCCTGCGATGGACTTATTTTTTAATCTAAATATTCCAGCTTCAGCATGCCATGCGAAATATGTGCCCTTTTTTTTTTCGGTAATTAATTTTCTTTTCCGTCGTAGGATACACGCGACACGCTGTCACTTGGTTTGACAAGGCAAGTCACTGTTTTCTTCGCTATACTTATGAATAATGCAGTGTGCTAAGGGTTACCAAAGAGGTTTTTATAGAATGGGAATCTAAGCCCAATGAGTACCTTTATTTTATCATTTCCCTTAGCCAAGAGAATATGTTTTACTCCTGGTCTACAAGTCAGAGATATCTTCCTCCGAGACTGCTTACCAACAACAGCTAAAGAATCTATTTATCCTACTTCTTAACCCATGTAAAAGAGATGGATTCAGGTCTTTCACCAAGAGCTTGAGTGCAAGTGAATACAAATGTCTCAGTTGGATTTTTAACTTGGGTTGATGAACCCATTTTCCAGGCTTGTTAACCATGACACTATGTGAACTCCCAATTCATAAAAATAAAACAAAACTACTTGGGCTCTAAGTAGCAGAATCAACAGTTTTCTGTTAAGATCTAGGTTGGTGATGCTCATGACTTTGTATCAGAACAAATATCCTTCTTGTCCTCTGTTACAGGTTTGTGAAAAAATTCTCCTCCTATGTCCTATTTCTATTCAGTACATAGATCATGGCTCTCCACAACTTCCTATCTTTTGTAGCTCTTAGCAGTGTTGTTATTTTTACTATCCTTCACTCCCTGTTCAGCTATCCAAGGTTATTCACTGCTTCTGTCTGTCCCTCTCACCTTCAATGTCCTGTGAGTCTCAAATTCTCCAAGTTTTCATCTAGAAATTTCAGCTATCTCACTGTCCAATTTGATGTATCATTGTCATTTTTATTTCCAATTTCCCTAAAACTTACTCAACGTGATTCATACATAATATTCTTAGTATCCTTCTGCGGAACTACATCTGTGGCCTAAAGTCTTTTTTTCGTTCATAAGGAAATTGCCCAGCATTCACTGCCATGTAGAAGGATTGATATTACATAACAGTTCACCAAACTTCCTTGTATCTGTCTATGTTTCTGAAATGAGGTATTATGTACACTATTTACATTATTCGAACTATTGTCCTCATCTTTGTCGCCATATTTATCACAACGTTTCGGCCGTTGTATGCTCTGGCCTTCTTCAGGTGATTGGAATGTTGAACTGAACTCTTTATTTCACTCACTGGGGTAGACTGTTCTAGTTCCACGTGCCATGTTTTTAATGGATGTCAGTTATCAGTTATCTCCTGTTAATTTTCCTCTGAAAGTTCTCCACTGCCTTAACCAGGTATTGAACTCACACTCTTTGGGTTCTTGGGATCTAACCAACACCTTTATCCACTGTGCCACGTGTCCTTGAGCACGTGGAACTAGAACAGTCTACCCCAGTGAGCGAAATAAAGGGTTCAGTTCGACATTCCAACCACCTGAAGAAGGCCGGAGCATACAACGGCCAAAACGTCGTGATAAATATGGCGACAAAGATGAGGACAATAGTCCAAATAATGTAAATAATGTAAACTTCCTTGTTTCTAATGAAATTTTTCCATTTCTTTATACTTTGTTTAGCTTTCGGAAAGCATGTTTTGTTATTCCAATGTACTTTCAGATTTCACAGACACATTTTCTGTCTTTTTTGAAAATACCCAGATATTTAAACTTATTTGTTTGATTTTGGCATCTCGAATCTAGAGCTAACCTCTTGAACTTCCTCAAAAAAATTCTCTCTTCAACTAGTGTTTTCAGGAATTGAACCACAAAAACTTTGTCATCAAACAGTCAATAAGTTTTTCTCTGTATCATTTTTTTTTCATTTTACATCATATCAAATAAACAACACATATCAGTCAAAGATGAGGGGTCAAATTACATCATCAAATTCATAAATCTGGTGTTAAGGCACCATGTTGCAAGGGAAGACGGACAATAGAGAGGCAGCCATAAAGCATGCCTTTCAAAGAATTGGAAAATGAAGGGCTGGTTTGTTTTGGTGGGGAGTTAGGATAATAAGTGTAAAAAGATATAAAGTCAAAGCATGGTAAGAAGCAAATCATGTGAAACAAATTGTAGGAATTGATCTGATTGGGAAGAACGATGAAGTAAGGGTTGATGGTGATATATCCTGAAGCAACCGACACTTTCCAACCGAAATACACAAGATGAAGAAAAATCAAAAAAATTATTTGAGGGACTTGGATTATGAGAAAGTAAAGGAGGAATGAATGAAAAAGGGGGAAAAAGTGAAAAGAAAAAAAGATGCTGAGAAAAAGAGAAGAAAAACAAAAGGATGAACAGAAGAGGAGGAAAAGAATGAAGTAATGAAGAAAAATAAACAAAGGGAAAAAAATGCAAGAGAGAAAGAGAAGAAAATAGGGAAAAAAAAAAAGGAGGAACAAAAAGAGAAAATGAAAGAAAGTAAATGGACAAGGAGAAATATGAAGGGAAAAGGTGAGAGAGGAGCGGAGGAGGAGAAGTGAGAAAGGAGCGGAAGAGGAGAGGTAAGAGAGGAGGAAAAGTGAGAGGTGAGGGAGGAGCGGAGGAGGAAAAGTGAGAGAGGAGCAAAGGAGGAGAGGTGAGAGAGGAGTGGAGGAGGAGAGGTGAGAGAGGAGCAAAAGTGAGAGAGGAGTGATGGATGAAAGGTAAAAGAGGAGGAAAGGTGAGAGAGAAGGAAAAGTGAGAGAGGAGTGGAGGAGGAGAGGTGAGAGAGGAGGAAAAGTGAGAGAGGAGCAAAGGAGGAGAGGTGAGAGAGGAGCAAAAGTGAGAGAGGAGTGAAGGATGAAAGGTAAAAGAGGAGGAAAAGTGAGAGAGAAGGAAAAGTGAGAGAGAAGGAAAAGTGAGAGAGGAGGAAAAGTGAGAGAGGAGCAGAGGAGGAAAAGTGAGAGAGGAGCGGAGGAGGAAAAGTGAGAGAGGAGCGGAGGAGGAAAAGTGAGAGAGGAGCGAAGGAGGAAAGGTGAGAGAAGAGCGAAGGAGGAAAGGTGAGAGAGCAATGGGGAAGGGAATGGTGAGAAGGAAAATGGATGGTAAAGCAGAAATGAAGAATGATGAATAAAAAGAGTGAGGAAAAAGAGAAAGAAAATGAAAGCCGAATTAAAATATAAGGAAAGAAAGTGAAGAATACTGCGTAAGGAGGTGGGGGGTGGTATTTCAGAATATAAGGATGGAAGGTAAAAACAAAACCCAATGAACAAAGCAAAACAGCGGATCACATAGATATGAAATCAAGCGGATGAACAAGAAGACTCAAGCACAATGGATGGTCCCTAAAGAGGTTTTCCAAACATGACCCTCGTTCTTTTGTTCTAGACTGCAAATATGGGATTATAGCTAAGCAGCTAAAATCACAAACATATCTATTACCAGCACTATTACAGCAAGTAGGATTATTATTATAGTTTATACTTCTCTTTCTTCCTTAGACGTTTGATTGATCGATACATGACAAAGCAGGAGAAAAGATGAAAACAAGAAGATCAAAAGAAATGCCAAAAAGGGAGAAAAAAAAAAACAAAACAAAAATATAGCCACATAAAAATCAAAAGGTTAGGTTTAGGGTTAGGGTTAATTTGGTCATTCACCTGAGACTAAATGCACAAAAGATATTACAATCAGGTTTTTTGCTTCTTTAAGGAACACAAACCATTTTTTGAGCCCGTGAATGTGTGTTTTGCTTCCTCATATATTTCTTTAGTAATGGTATTATTTCCTCAGTACACTCAAAAAAAAAACTTAAAAAATCTTTTCCTGTCCATTTACAGCTGTCTCTTTCTTATAATACAAACAGGGTTTTCATAGAGTTTACATCTATGAACCGTCAGGTTAACATAAGAGCTGCCAGAATGGAAAACAGATTCTGCAATCTAAGTTCAAATTTCAGTAGTGGCTGCTTTTGTCCCCTTAATACTAATACCCTTTCGAAAGATAAGAATACCTTTCTCCCTGGTATAGAAATCTATACGAGATATCATAACCATTATGGAAAATGTAATCAGCCAAGTTATAATTTAAACAGTGTCTTCAAATGATCACTCATCATTAATACAAACTGGGTACACAACTGGCTTTTAATGATATGATCATCTATAGCTGAACCTGTTGCATTAATACACCTATGTGCAGCTTTCCTGTGCAAATATTGGCTGGTACATGTTGGTTAATCCATGCTTCAAACACCAGACATATTCTCAGTGCAGGGTGAATTCTGAGTATCACTTGAAAGTTTAGGAATCGGTGTACATTAAGTTCTACCAGCCACCTGTTTATAAGCAGGAGTGATTGGTGGGATTAAATTAGCCTTTAAATATAACATTTTCTCGTTTTATTTTAGTTACTCTACACATTTTTTACCTCTATCTTTGCTCTGATGAGAGACGACCGATAAACCGTATTAACTGTCTTTTTTGCTAATCAATGTTATATTTTGGCATTACCATTTTATGGTGATATACTTCATTTCTTTCTTATACCCCACTTTTTTTTGTTATGAACTGTATTTTAATGTCAGTTTCTATCCCACTAATAAAATTTATTTCACTTCTAATTTATTTACAATGTAAAAGATTTCATATATAATGTGTGATTATATGTTTAATATCAAGGAATATTTAAATTTTAAAGAAAGCTTTAAACTGTTAAAAGAAAAAAGAAATTATATTGTCTGCCATAATGTTGATCAACTGATAAAACATTCTATGATTAGATATTTCACACCAGTAACCATGAAACATTTTCCAGAAGAAAGAAGAATTTCTAGAATTTGCCAGAAATGTGAAGAACTTTTTTCTACTACAAGATTTATATATATATATATAAAAGAGACAGACAACCAACTGATGAAAATTTAAAGAATACTCTGCTACACTCATTAACTTATTTAAGTTCAAAAATTAACTTAATTTTTGGATAGTCATTTCCAAACACAACCAGACAGCTAACCAATCTCTCTTGTAGGTGTAAATTCTGGCACATTTTGTCTTTGTTCACAACCCACAGATCCCATCTGTGGTTTGTACTGCAACTTACAGTTTCTGGAAGAGAGCAAATAAATGTCCTTCAAACAGTTCCATCTACCAAATTTCATTTACAAGGCTTCGGTTAACCTATGGTATCATCTTCAGGCACTTTCCAATAGAGTTGCATTGTTGGGATTGCCTGCCCATGTCAATAACATCAAGAAGTCACCTTCCTACAAATTGACCAAACCAATTATTCTTTAAGAATATTGTCAGAATAAATGAAAAATTAAGAAAAAAATTGCTACCACTGCAACGTTGCCATTTAGAAATACGATGGTGAATTTGACAATTTTTTGGAAATTTAACAGTTAATAAACACAATTTTCAAAAAATGTTAAATTAATCAAACTATTTCTAAGTAGCAAGGTTGCAATAGTAATGACCTTTACTTAATTTTTCAGTTATTCGGATGATATTCTTAATGAACGAAACAAAAAAAAATGAAATATCCAACTAGTTTTGACATTATTCTATCTTACATAATTTGTTCAAATATTTCATTTGTCATTATATATATATATATATATATATATATATATATATATATATATATATATTTTGTGTATTTAGGTAGTAATCCTTCTTTCATGCACATTTCATTGAAAACGGCAGACATGCTTTTATTTAGTTTTTTTATACAATTTCTCATGCGATCTAATAATTTTTTCTTGTCAGATGATAAATTATATGAAAACTGTCCAATTGTTCTTTTTATCTGAGCCCTTTCGGCTATACATTTAGCCATTTTCAAGGATTATATTTTAACAGTTAAAATAAGAAATAGTTTGTTGTATATATATTTTATAAAATGTTTTCATTTTTTTTTTTTCAAAACACGGTCAAGATGTTATGTCCATCTTCAAAGTTAATATTATTAAGTGTTGGTTTGTTTGTTTTTATTAATAAGGCTTCCATTATTTTTAGCTTTTTTTTGTATGTAGATGATGCTATTATATTAGTGTTGTCGACAGTTATGTTCTGAATAGTGTCTGGTAGGTCTCCATGAATATTTAAATGAGATCTAATTGAGCTATTGTCAAAAATATATATATGCAATGGGTAAATTGATGGCATTTTATATTTTTAACTTTTTGCATGCACATTGTTTTTTATTTTGTCGACTGCACAGGATAGTAGGGTCAGTTGGGCACTGTCTGTGAGAAAAGAGCACCATGACACAATTCATTCCACCAGAAATTTAGAAACTACATGCTGTACTGCTTATACAAACATTTCAGTGTGTTTGGGTGTCAATCTGAGGACAATGCCAAGGATTGAAAAAAAGAATGATTTAGATGAGTTTAATTGTTATTATGAAGGTACGGCAGCTCAGAAAACTCACTCTGATCATTCCAATAAGAAATTAACTTCTGAATTTGTTGGTGAGAGCCTCAGACTCAACACAGAGGCCTACACCAAGTACCTTCAAGAGTTAGTGCTGTTCTGGACCAAGAGGGTGGCAACAAGACACAAGCAGGAGAACACAATCATGGCTGTCAGACAATTTCTGCAACCACATCATCCCTTACATCTGACCATCTACTCCCCAAACTTCAACCCCCTTGATTATTATGTGTGGGGTGCAGTTGAGCAAGAGACCAACAAAACCCCTTGTAACACCAAAGATGAACTGAACACAAGGATTATGGCAGCATTCACCAAATTAAACAAAGAAACTGTCCTGAAGGATTGCAGGAGATTCTGAAGTCGTCTGGAGGCCACAGTTGAAGTCTATGGCAATTTTATTGAATAAATGTATTCTTTTGTATTTCAAGATCTTTTGGTGTAATTTCAGCAGATATATCTGTTAAAGTGAGATGTCAGTGTTATTTTCATTTTTGCATAATTTAGACAATTTATCCATCGCATCCTCTGTGTGTGTGTGTGTGTGTGTGTGTATATATATATATATATATATATATATATATATATATATATATAATATATATATAAAAGGATTAATTTAATTTTAATGAAACTTTCTTATTACTTCAAATATCATTATCATTATAGTGGACTAATATTTGAAATAGATGCCATTTTTCTATTCTAAATAGTATGTATTGCATCTATCAGTCTGCACAATCAAGAAAATTTAATAAAAAAAAAATTTGTTCTCTGCCTGGAATTGAACCCATGACCATCTTTGTAGGAAAAACCATCTGATCCAGAATGCTTTAAGACTTTACATCACAATCCAGCAAGGCTCTATTTTCCTTTTTAATAAAAGATTTCTTAAATCACATATCTGCTGAGTTTCATATCAGAAATATAAGCAAAGAAATTTCTAAAGAATTGATTTATTTTAATCTGACATTTTTATTTCTTCATATGTTATTATAGTGGATACTTATATTTGAAATAAATGCCCGTGTGTGTGTGTGTATGTGTGTACAGTCACAAACTTTTATCAGACTGTTAGTCTATGATTTACATTATTTGGGCTATTGTCCACATCTTTGTCGTCATATTTATCACAAAGTTTCAGTTGTCGTACGCTCCGGCCTTCTTCCGGTGATTGGAATGTCAAACTGAACCCTTTATTTCGCTCACTGGGGTAGACTGTTGTAGATCCACATGCCATGTTTAATGGATGTCAGTTATCTCCTGTTAATTTCCCTCTAAAAGTTCTCCACTGCCTCAACCGGGTATTGAACTCACACTCATTGGGTCCTGTCACTGGATCTAACCAATGCCTTTATCCACTGTGCCATTTATCCTTGAGGGTTCAGTTCAACATTCCAACCACCTGAAGAAGGCCGGAGTGTACAACAGCTGAAATGTTGTGATAAATATGGCGACAAAGATGAGGACAATAGTATGAATAATGTAAATAGTGTACATAATACCTCATCTCAGAAATATAGACAGCTACTGAAAGGTCAAAACGTAATAAATATGGAAAAAAGATGAGGACAATAGTCCGAATAATGTAAATAGTGTACATAATACCTCATCTCAGAAAAATAGACAGATACTGAAAGGCCAAAACATTGTGTGCCTTAACCAAGTATTGAGCTCACACTCTTTGGGTCCTCTCACTGGATCTAACCAACACCTTTATCCACTGTGCCATCTGTGTATGAATTTCTGGGTATTATAAACCTAATGCCTTCAGCAACCATTTTTTACCAGTGCTCATCTTGCAATTTTTTTTTGCTGTTATCATTGCATGTTTTTAGGCCACAAAAATCTCCTGAGCCGACCAAGCATAAAAATGAATACAATATGGGAACCAGTAATGAGGAGTGCCAGAGAAAAGCAATAATAATAACAACAAAAAATTGCAATATGAGCTCTGGTAAAAACATGACATGGAACTAGAACAGTCTACTCCAGTGAGTGAAATAAAGGGTTCAGTTCAACATTCCAACCACCTGAAAAAGGCCGGAGTGTACAACAGCCGAAATGCTGTGATAAATATGGCAACAAAGATGAGGTCAATAGTTTGAATAATGTAAATAATGTACATAATACCTCATCTCAGAAATATAGACAGGTGTATGATTTAGTTATGGACAAGAATTGATTTAACTTTAATATCACTATAATCAATCAGTCACACAAAGAGTGAGCTATCACCAAGTGAATATCATATAATAGTGGTAACAGGGATATTTTTCTTAAGATTCCGCACTTGGAATTTGATTATGATTTTTGCCTTGATACCAATCTCAACGTAAAGTAGAAGAAATAGTGTTTTCCCCAAATACAAAGACAGCCTCAAGGCTTTTTTTTTTTTTTTATAAAGCTGATTTGAAATCAATTCAAACACCATATTACAGACTAGAAGTTGTCTCCCTTTTTCTCAATATCTATGTCAAACAGTTTTGGAAATCTTAAAAAAGACTAACTCCTTTATAAATGAATTAGTAAAAAAAAGGTATACAAGATCAACAAAGTTCTTTCACATTCATTTTCCGAATCTTTGTTGACCTTTTCAGTTTACTTTTCTTTTTACACACAAGAGGAGTTGTTAAACCATTATCTGCAAACAATATCTGTAAGATAACAATTGCATTAGCAAAAAAATCAAAAATAAGATCCATTTAGAGATTTTTTATCAATCAACCTTTGTAATTTGAAAAAGAAATAAACTGATTCATTTTGATACCAATTTTCTATATTGTATCCTGTCTAAAATTTGTTTGATCTAATTGGAAACTTTTTTTTATGAATCATTCTTAACAATATGGTATTAAAATAGAATTATAAATAGAATCTGTGTTTGACATCTCCAGGCAATAAATAATGTTTTCAAATATGAATATATTGAATATATGAAATACAACATGAAATAAGAAATTTTAAGTAAGCAATTAAAACTGGAATTTATTCTTAACTGCAGATGCACAAATAAAAGCTACAAATGAAAATAAAAAAAATATTGTTCTACAGAAGGATGCTGAGAATACAATGGATTGAACATGTGAGCAATGACAAAGTTTTAGACAATGGCAACAAAAAGGACATCCGTACTTAACATCAGAAAAAAGACAGTTGAAATTTGTGAGGCACATAATGAGGAAAGAGGGCTTGGAAAATTTGATACTCACAGGACTGATTGAAGCTGAGAGAGAGAGAGAGAGTAGAAAGCAATTAATGGGACAGAACAATAAATGAACAGGAATTAAGATAAAAGATATCAAGTAACATTGAATTTAAATTTTTGAAGATCAAAGTTGACTGGAAACAAGAGGCCAGAAGAGAGTTCTACAAAGAAGTGCAAGAGAAGAAACTGTTAGCATAGAACTTACGGTTACATTTAGCCATTTCAACTGTAAAATGATGAGACCTTGCCACCAATCTAGTACTGCACTTAAATTCATAAAGTCTATGTACCATAGTAAAAAGAAGAATTAGAATGAAATTATTTAAAGGAAAGGCAAAGGAAAGCTACATTAGGAAATTGGTGGTAGGAAAGTGACTGAAGCCGAGATGCCGATAAGTGAATCTTATTCGAGAGAAGAAACTGTTAGCATAGAACTTACGGTTACATCTAGCCATTTCAACTGTAAAATGATGAGGCCTTGCCACCAATCTAGTACTGCACTTAAATCCATAAAGTCTATGTACCATAGAGGAAAGTTCATCGGAACAATTACCATGAAAACTTTTGTAGAAAAGGCACGGAAGCTACATTACAATGGTGAAAAAGCAACCTAAGCTGAGATGCCATGTCAGGACCAATAACATTGCAAATTCTTGTTTATATTTTATCAATAATTTCTGAATGCATAGCAGAATTACCAGACAAGATTTAATACATGGACAAAATGTAGACTTATAAATGTGTAAGATAGATTCATCTGTAATTTTGCATAAATTGATATTACAAAAACTTTTAAAAATAACATGTCCACAATATCAAGAAAATAAAATTGAACTCCCAGTCAAATGGCTTGGGAATAATTCTTTTAAAAATTTTCTTGAAAGTATCAGCATAAGTAGAGGATTAAATTTTACAGTGCCAAAGAACATAAATAGCCATTAATTATTCTATGAAAACAGAATTTGTTTTGGCAAGAATTTGAGGTCTGAAAGTAAAGCTGGGGAAATGGGTTTTTTTTTGGGGGGGGGGGGGGTCAAAGATAAATAAATAAAAAAGGAAAGGCATCTCTTGTCAGATAATCATGAAAACAAACAATGGCTATAATTCTGACAATAGAAATAAAATAAAAACAAAAGAAAAGTTTATTTTGAAAGCCATGTTTTCTAAATTGACTTGACATCTATCACCAGGAGTCATTTCTTGCAGTAACCTTCATGGGCACAAACATGGTGGAAAACATTTTAAAAATTGTAATTTATGAACAAAAAAAATAAAAAATGAAAAATGAAAAAAAGAGAGAAAAAGAATGAAAAAATGAGAGAAAGAATGGAAGAGAAAAAGAATGAAAGAAAAAAAGAATGAAAGAAAAAAGAATGAATAAGAGAGGGGAGAAAGTGAGGGAGAAGAGAGGGGAGAAAGTGAGGGAGAAGAGAGGGGAGAAAGTGAGGGAGAAAAGAGGGGAGAAAGTGAGGGAGAAGAGAGGGTGGGAGGGGGAGAGAAAAGAATGAATGAAAGAGAAAAATGAAAGAGTGAAAAGACTCAAAAAGTGAGAAAAAGAATATGAGAGAGAGGAGAAAGTGAGGAGGGAAGAGAGAAGGGAAAGTGAGGGAGATGGGAAAGAGAAGGGAAAGTGAGGGAGATGGGAAAGAGAAGGGAAAGTGAGGGAGATGGGAAAGAGAAGGGAAAGTGAGGGAGATGGGAAAGAGAAGGGAAAGTGAGGGAGATGGGAAAGAGAAGGGAAAGTGAGGGAGATGGGAGAGAGAGAGAGACAGAGTGAAAGAGAAAAGTATGAAAGAAAAAGAGAAATGAAAATGAAAAAAAGTAAGAGAAAATGAATATGAACAAGAGAAAGAGAAAAAGAATCCCATGAATAAAATATCTTTTTAAATATCAATAATTGTCTTAAAATAAAACTTTTTCTTTTTAACTTAGAAAAAGGTTATTGATAACATGATTACTTTAATAAATGAATTTTGAGCAAACAAGTATGTCATTTTGTTACCTCCTATAACTGATCTACAAGACTGACAACCGTATTTTTATCTCCTTTCTCACAAAAAAGGAGAAAAAGAATTAAAAGATAAAAATCTAAACTAATAGAAATGTTATTTAAGATTAAAGTTTTAATTTTTTTCTAAGATTTATTTTAATCATTTGTCATTTGAAAACATTTTTGTTTATCTGACAAGATCAAGTGTGTAAGAAGCTGAATGGAAAAAAAAAAGTGCTCTGAATGTTAAGTCACTTGCTTTGTGACAGCTTGGCAAACTTATAATCAAATAATCCATCTATACACAGATTAAGTCAGATGTGTACAAAGTTTAATGGTTGTCAGCACAGAAAGTGGAATCAGCATGTTGAGTTCAAATTCCAGCCATGGCTGTAGGGTTTACTTTTGCACATAAACCTTGGAAAGATCTAAATCTGCTATTTTTTTTACCCACAACAAGGGGTTAATAGCAAGGGCAGATGGGGCTCATTAAATTAGCCTTGGTTAACAATCAATTTAGAATTTACTGATTTATTTATTTTTTATCTTTTTTTTTTTTTTTTTTTACAACTTATCAACCCTTTGTGGGTTATTTAAAAACCAAAGCATATTTTAGATTCTAACAATATTCTTTTTTGGCAAGTGAATATTAAATTAACAATTTTTTAGAGATACCGTATATACGTGAGTATAGTGCAAGATTTTACGTAAAAAATTGGAGGCAATTTTTTGAAGAGGTTAGAAATCATGCATTTTCAGTGACTGGGTGAGCTATACACAGGTACATTTTTCTTGAGGGTATTAAAAAAATTCAGGGGTTGCACTATACATGAGGATATACTGTAACAATAACTTTTCCAGATACAAGTCCTACCATTTAATCCATTGTTGGGGAGAAGAAAAGAGATGGAGTCATCATACTTTTCCTAAGGGTAGTTGCATGGAAGTGAACTGAACTCAACAAGAATTCAAACTTCCAAGCTACTATTCATTACACCATCTGCACATTCAACCAGGCTAGGAGCAAGAATTCAAAATACTGCCCGTCATGGGTATGACTATAAACTACATCCACATCTAGAGTAAGACAATAAACTACATCCAACAGAAAGGCCTCTGGATCAGGAGATTTTGAGGAGCATGGCACCACCTCTTAATTACTGGTGTTCCCAGGTCCACCCTGACCCCGGGTGGTAGCACCTGTTAGGGTCCCAGTTATGGGCAAATAGTTAACCTCGAAACTGAAGTAAAAAGCATTATGAAAGTGTAAAACTAGGTTTTAATACCAGAAATACTTTGTAAAAAAATTATTACCAGAAATAAATTTTTGTAGAAGAAAAACTATTACCAGCAACATGTTTTTGAAAAAAAAATATTACCAGCCATACATGTTTTAAAATTATATTACCAGCTATATATTTTTGAGGAAAAAATATTACCAGAAATAGATTTTTAACAAAACAAACCAAACCACTGAAAATACTGCATGTTCCCTGCATGTAAAACACTGGCTGCAGAAACAACAGCAGCAGCAATGTTTAGTGCAGTGAAGGAGTGACACTATATTGCACAGGGGTGTATGCAGGCCCTATATAAATACATTTCTAGAATTAAACCTTATGGCATGGACCAATCATTTAATTGTAAGGGAGATTTGGACAACTAGCCTTGGTTGGCAGCCAATCTAGTAGAAAGAGAATTTGAATTCAAAACAGGTTGTGTGTCGACCTACCAACTCCTCCCTGTAAAAATCTAATTTTTTTTTAAAGGCGGGAATGCCACTAGCACGCAGGGAGTTATAGAGAGTGAAAGTAAGAGAAAAGACTGGGTATAGAGGGGGGGGTAAAGAAAGGATAAAAGATAAACAGGGTTCAAGACAAAAAAAGATGGCAATTGACATTGAATTTAAATATTTTGTTATCAGGAAAACAATGGAGTGGAAGGGAGTTCCACTGTTGGGAAGTGCTAGAAAAGAAATTGTTGGAGTAGAAATGGCAGTTACATTTAACTATTTCAACAGTAAAAGGGTGGGACCTAGATGCCAATCTAGTAGCAACGCTCAAATTCATGTAGTTCAGGGCACCAGGAAAAAAATCTTATACTACAGAAACCACACTAGCAATGTTTAGCATGATGAGGCTGTGATTCTATGGTACACAGGAGAGTCTCCAGGACTTACATGCATATACACAGAGTAGGAAAAACAAAGAGACATACTCACATACAAATCATAAATTTGAGAATAAGGGAAATAATAAAAACATTATTATTATTATCATTATTACTATATTGAAATTCAATTAAATTTAATTTTAATTATTTATAAACTATTTTCTACTCATCACAGTTGTAATTATCCTAATGTTTCGGCCATTCTACCCACAAGCCTTCTTCAGTATTCCATCTCTTGTTCTTATTCTGCTATGTGAAAGGGAGATAACTCATATGAGTTAATCTCGAGATTCAGAACATATCATGGCATAGCCACATCTCTCTCCATCTCACTTTAACTTTTTTTTTATCCCCATATATTGCCATCTCCAGCTAAAATTTGACCTCCTCACAAAGAAAAACAAAACTGAAATTCTACACGAGTCATTATTCCAACTGGAAAAGTAAAAATAAAATCTACCTTGATAATGGCTAAAAGTATAGCCAAAAGTGCTTGGACAGGCAAAACATTCAGACAATTTCTGCATAATTTATGTCCAGCAAAAAGAAAATGATAACACAAGAAAAATTAAATAAAAAAAAAAATTAAATAGAGTAACCTGTCAGTCATTTTTAATAAAACAAGTATAAAAGAGGGATTGCTGCACAAGTAATCTCTCTCTCTCTCTCTATATATATATATATATATATATATATATATATATATATATATATATACACACACACAGTCCAGAATATCCCAAGACAACACAGTACTCAGTAATCTTAAACATATGTTATGGAACACCAAAGACGTGTCTCTCAAAATAAAGATCGATATATACAAATCAGTTATTCTTTCAACCCTTCTCTATGGTGCTGAATCTTGGACTCTGTACCACAAGCACATAAATCAACTTGACACCTTTCACATGTACTGTCTTCATGCCATATGTGATATAAAATGGGATGACAGGGTCAAGAATAGTGCAATACTGAAGAAATGTAACAACATCACAGGCATTGAAACCATTCTAGCAAAGATACAACTTAGGTGGGCTGGTCGTGTTGCGCAAATGGATGAGTATAGGCTTCCAAAAAAGGTGCTGTATGGATAACTGCCAAACTCCAAGCGTTCAGTTGCACGTTCACTCTTATGCTACAAAGACAAATTGAAAAACAACTTGAAATGTCTTAAATTTGATCTGAAAACCTGGGAAGCCCAAGCATCAAACTGAAAGGTGTGGCATAGGACAGGTTTCATTAAGTTAAAAGGTTTTGAAGACAGTATACCAAAGCACCATGATCAGTTTAATCAAGATCTGAAGCAGGGACACCATCAAAATCCTGCTTTAATGAATTTTATCTGTCAGTGTGGCTTTGTCATCCACAGCAGGGCTGGGCTAGTATCACACTTAAGAAAGCACAAATGAAATATGTCTTTCCCTTACCTGATTTCCTCCAAAATATCGCCTGCTACCATGCATAAGTGTAAAACAAAACACACCATCAACTGATGACCCTCATTTATCAATCATGATAGGAGAGTCCATTATATATATATATATATATATATATATATATATATATATATATATATATATACATATATATATATATATATACACAAATAATGAATATATTTTGTTCCTTCGTAATACGTTTAATATATATTTTGTTCATTCACTGTGCACTATACATATATATAATAAAAATGCATTTTCATGCACATAACAATCATCAGGTACAAATTACTACATGCATGAAACTCAGACACTTCATCCTGATGATTGCACTGAAACAGAATGTTGCCACTTGGTGTTGACAGTGTAGACTTTTACATATGCTCTATCTCTGATATTGAGCACTTTTACCCATAAATATAGCATACCTTAGAACTATATATATATATATATATATATATATATATATTAAATAGGCTTTTACCAAGGTGATGCATGATTTCATGATTTTAAGATGTAGAGGCATTTTCTTTTCTTTAAATAAATAAAAATATATGAAGCACTACTCAAAATCTAGTAGAAAATATCGTCATTATGATGATTTATTCTGTAACATACAGAATTGTGAAAATATCGTCATTCTGAGTGCTACCACAAGAAGCAAACAGAAACAAAAAACTAATGACCAAATTTTAATATATTGACTGCATCACGTGGTATATTATGCATTGTCTCCAAGACAAATGTGTCTCACATGCTACAAAAGCGTGAAAAACAAAGCCAGTCCCAAGGACAGACATCAGTAACACTCATTACAGATTAATAAACTTGGCTTCATTTACCAAAAATAAAACAGGTTTATGTAGCAATTTATAATGGTAAATAACAAAAACAGTTGAAGTCATTATATAAGGTTTTAATATCTGATGTAGCAGTGAATGTCCTAATGAATTTAACATACACGTGTACAAGCTGAATTTTATATATAGCGTGACCCCCTGAATTATTGGGGAATAATTTTAACCTCTTCAGAAACAATTTTCCAGTGTATATGGTAAGTGAAAATGGATTAGTTTCAAACTCTTCAAAGGAATTACCTGTGTATAATGCTACCACATATTTTTTGTGTCAAAACTGATCCCAAAAGCCCATACTTTATTAGAGTATATATCGTAAGTTTATTTACCAAAATAATATAAAAGTAGGCTTATGGAAAAAGTTCTAATGGTAAATAATACTTACACTATTTATATTATAAAATTCAGCTTATACACGTATATGTTAAATATATATGTTAAATTTCATTTAGTTTCTTTTTTATCATTATTGTTATTAAATATCCCACATTATAATGATAGAAGATCTGTCAAGAAAGACAAAATGAACCAGAATGCAAAATTACTGTGGATGATCTTACAAGCAAAACTCTTTATATAGACTTTTGTCTTAATAAATTAGTTTCTCCTTTAGAGATTAGAGTAGTATTTTTAAATTAAAATTGTGGCCAGTTTCATTATGGTAAGCAACTAATACCCTTAGTGCTTTCTTTCATAAAACATCCCTTATATATATATATATATATATATTTATACACACGTGCATAAAAGAATATGGTAACTAATTCAAAATGCTTCACTGATGAACCAGAATAAAAAATGTACAAGAAAACATCTGCCTAAGACAAAACAATCAATTCTCCTGAAGAATAGATGTATTTTTGCAAAACTCAGGGCAAAAACAATTGAACAGAAAAGAGGAGCCGACCATTATTGGAATCATTGAAACAATGTGAACAATCCTTTCCTTCTCTGCATGTGTTTCACCAGGGCTACATAGTCTTGAATTCTGAGTTTTCCTTCTCCTAGACTGATTGCCATCCAAAGCTACAGAACTTTCAGCTACTTTCCTGTTATTTACCCATAGCTGGAGGTCGGGAGAAGGGTTGGATTTACACCTTTCCCTAAGGGGATTAGCACATGAATATAACTAACTCGACTGAAATTTCAATTCAGTTTTCAGATTCTTCAATGTGAGCTGCAATCCATGACTGCAACATGCCAGAAATATTAATATGGTGAGGGAAAGGAAGGAGAGAATAAAATTGGATGAGAATCCAACAAAATGATAAATATACAAGGCAATATTAAAAAAAAAAAAAAAAAAAAAGAAAACATGTACATTAACATGTTCCACTGATGAGCAAACATAATCAGAAAAGGACACGAACAAAATCTAGCTTAACGAACAAGGCGAAACGTCATTCACATTAAGGAGATAAATGATTAACTTCTACATTAATTGTATTGTTATGGCCATGTCATGAATCTGTTATGGGATGGGAGCTAATCAAAATGGCAGACAGGGTCTTAACTCAAATAAAGTGTCACCCCATGTGTTATATGAAAAGGACCCTTTGAGGTCATGGTAAACATGATTAAACAAAGATTAAATGGCATTAAAAAAAAAGAAGCAGGAGATATAGAAAGAAAGTAGAATAGAATATGTTTTAATGGTTATGAGTGGGGAGTTTGATCATCATTGGGAGCGACATACTACATGAACTGGGCACTTCTACATGGTGTAATCTTCTCTCAATTATGACCGAGTAGTGAGTTTGATCCTCACTTAGTGCTCAAAAAATTTGGCCTTGTGTCACATCTATGTTTAGAAAATCATTTGGACACTGATGTGGTGTAATGTCTAGCAAGCTTCTCTCACTAGATCAAAACATTTGGCCTTGTGTCACATCTATGCTTAGAAAATCATTTGGACACTTTGATGTGGTGTAATGGCTAGCAAGCTTCTCTCGCTAGATCAAGTAATACTGAGTTATAAGTTTGACATTCACTGGGTGCTCGAAACTTGCAACCTTGTGCGACATCTAAGCTACACTTAATAAATTATGAAGTAAGAGAGATGATATAGGAGAAAAAGGAAGGGGAAGTTTATAGAAAAAATAGAGAAAAAAAGACCTGTTTTTTTTTAAATAAAAAACACAAAAAAGAACTAAGTACAGTAAAAAGGGAAGTCTTTTTCAATGTTAAAAGAGAGTTTCGCTTCAAATCAAACATAAATCAGTTTGCAAATGTTTTACAAACAAGAAGATGGCTACTGAGTTCTCAAGAGGAAACTCAAAAAAAATCATTTCTACTTGCAGTTCTCAGCAGGAGGTGAAAACTAATACTTCCTCTCCAACTTCCAGTAATATCAGGATGTTTCTTTTGAAATGTTCAACTGCAGGTAAGTAAGTAAAAATCAACTGGTGGTCATTGAGAGAATGCCAACGATGTCAGTAGATGGCCTTTTTGCTTACTTTCTTATATTTCCTTTTTCCTAGACTGGATTTATTATAAAGTCATGGAATTTCAGTATAATTATTTCAATGGATTTGTTAGAAAAATATACAATTATATAAACCTGAAATAAAAGTGGCTCTATATTGAGCTGTGTGTGAATCAGTTTTAATATTTTACATTGCGTTAATAGGATTCACTTGGATTATATACCAATGTATTACTACATATATATATATATATATATATATATATATATATATATATATATATATATCTCTAATAAAGTTTGTAAAAGTTAAAGGACCTTTTACTACCTATATATATAGTAAAAGGATTACTACCTATATATATATATATAGTAATCCTTTTACTATATATATATATATATATATATATATATATAGTAATCCTTTTACTATATATATATATATAGTAAAAGGTCCTTTTACTTTTACAAACTTTATTATTATATATATATATATATATATATATATATATATAAAAAGTTTGTAAAAGTATTTTTGATACACTTATGTGTGTGTGAGTATATATATATATATATATATATATACATACACAAAAAGTTTATCAAAAATCTTTTTACAAACTTTGGGGGTGGGTTCCTCACACCAAAACAAGGACAAAAGTTTGTATAAACATGGCAATATTTGAAGGGTCTACCAGTCAATGATCTGATGGGTGCATGCGTGTGTAGAAGCAAGCAGAGGACATTTGAAAATTTGTTAAAAGTTGCTGTGTTGAAGTACAATGATGGCTTTTTGGGTGGGCATATGTTTAGATGGACATTTTGGGGTCAGGATTCATGCCCCCCCTCCAACAGTTTGTACAAGTATCTTTTGATTGGATTTTGGATTGTACATTTAACAGTGTCTACCATAAACTTTAAATTTAACAACTCAAAAATGAAGGATTTGCAGCCATATATTTATATGGATTTTCGTATTTTTGATTCACCCTCTGTGTGTGTGTGAATTCAACATTCAGATTTTGTATGTATATATTAAATACAGAGTTCAAGTACGTGTGTGACATTTGAATACTCTGGGTTCAAGCAAGAAAAAAGATCAAGGCATTCAAGAAAGCGCCTCTGCATCTCCTCTTGGGTGCACAAAACCTATGACTATGTATGGAGTAAGGCCAAAAGTCTTATGATCCAACAGGAATCTGTTTTTGCCATTATTAAGCATTGGAAGATGGCATGGCATAGCAGTCTCTCCAAGACCATCCTACAATTATCAAGCTGTAGTGAAGAATAGAGAGTCACTGTTCCTCACTACTGCCCGACGAATGTGACCCTGCATATGAAACTGCTCCAATCTTCTATTTGTTTTAATATTTGAATATAGCCTGGAGTCTTTTTTGTTCTTTTTTAGAGAAAAAAATAGAGGAAAAGCATTTACTAAATCATTACTGTCATCTTGTAATTTTAGAAGGTCAAAAGGCAATGGATTTCTTTTAAAAGGGAAAGAGACTTACCAGAAACCTCAGCCGCTTAAAATTAAAAGTTTTACAGCTTTCCAAGTGATCAGCTAATCGACCAGGGGTGGTAATTACAATGTGTGGTTGTTCAGTCAACTTCAGACCCTGGTTTGTCATATCTAACAAGATAGGAAAAAAAAAAAAAAAATGTTGAACTTGAATGATTTATTCAATAACATAGATAAAATGTTTCAGATTTGGTATTAAAACATTAAACAATAATATTTATGTTTGGGACAAAAAATAACATTCATTTACAAAAGATCAACTGTTTTCATTCAATCAATATGAATTCCTCGTTTCACAGGTCAAGATATTGTTATAGCATACCTACAGACGATAATGGGTATGTCTCCATTCACATAAATACAATAGCAAATACTGTATGTTGGTCTGCAATTGGAGATTTACCTCCAGCTATGTTGGTCAAACTCTCTACCACAGGGCAAAGAGGATCCTTAGATAAGGCTATGTCGAAGAGCAGAGTCCCATCTTGGGAAACAGCTACCCGTTTTATACAAGGTCTACAGGAAATTTTTGGCCAAGCCTATGGGTTTGGATACCCCACATTAAATTCGGTCATGTGCCACATCTGACCATGTGGGTCAGTTTGTAGATATCCTACAGTTGGAGATTCAATGTGGAATTCACTTGACTCACTTCTAGCAGTTGATGACGACTTCTACGCACCACTGGTGAATCTTATGTGTTGTTCTTGTCCTAAGTATTATCATTCATTAGCAAACTTCGTATGATTATTCTATTCAGTAACCTTCCCTAGATTACAACAAATATAATCTTAACGAATAATTATTCAAAGATTAAAAATGAAATCTAGAATGTTTAATGCCAAAACAATAATCATATCATTAGAGTTATTCATACTATCTGATTTAATAATCTAATTGAACCTTCTTTCACTCGAATAATGATTTTTCAATAGAAATTTTTACATTGTTTTGTAATAATTCTATAGCAAAATTTGTAATTATAATAATTTTATCAAGATTTACATTCTAAATTACTGAAATAGAATTTGGAGTCAAAAATTATTTCAATAAAATTTACATTCAAAATTGATTTACCGATAATCATGACAATTTTACCGAGATTTACAATTGTATACTATTTACATTACAGTTGTAATTATTTTACCAACACTTATAATTGTCATAAATATATCAGAATTTATAACAGTAACAAGAGGTTGGTTTGTTTAATGACATGTCAACAACTGTTGAGTTATTTAATGTCAAATGTAAATCTTTTAGGACAAAAACTACAATGAGGTAATACATAGGCAGAGGTGTTAAGTTTTTATAAGTAGTTTTTTGTTTTTTTTTCTGGCTGTATGAGACAGAAGATACATCTATAATTTTTCTGGCAGTAGCAATATTAGAATTTTATACGGATTTGTGTTTTTCATGTCTTTATGGGTTATTTAAAGTTAAAATTTATTTTGGATTGTAAGATTAATTTTTTTTTGTGATAGTTAATATTATATTAACATATTTTTAGAATAATAATGATTGATCCTGTTGTGGCATACCTACAGGCAATAATGGGTATGTCCCCATCCATATAAATGCAGTAGTAAATACTGTATGTTGGTCTGCAGTTGGAAATTCATTGTGGAATTCACTTGACTCACTTCTAGCAGTTGACTACTTCTTCTACATACCACTGGCGAATCTTATATGTGTTGTTCTAGTCCTAAGTATTATCATTTATTACCAACCTTCGTGTGATTATTCTATTCAATAACCTTCAACAGGTTCAGATACAAGTTCTATTTTACCCAAATAGATGGATTCATACGTTTCCCAATAACATAAGTGAATGTATAGGATTTTCTAAGTAGATATGAGATATATGATACAGCTATAGTTCATCAAGATTTATCATCAGTGGGTGTAATCTTATATATAAAGTACAGTGTATGTGTTTGTACAAGTGTTTTTTTTGTTTCAAAGATTTCAAGTAGTGAAAATATCTTACTTTGCGAAGCAATAGCGAGTGAGCTAAGCCTGCTAGTCTTAATATAAAATATGCAAGAAAAAAAGGATGAACAATCAACTACAAGATGACAGAAAGTATCGTCATCAGCAAGAGAAAAATCCTAAGATGCAAGTTACAAAATGGAGATATTAACATCAAGCAGGTGCAGAAGTTCAAAAATCTGGGAAGTGGAAAAAAGTGGAAAAGGTGACATTGAAATCTGAACACACATCTGACTAGCGAAACATGCATTCTAAAAGCTAAGCAAGGTGTTGAGAAATGGAAAAATTACATTAGAAACAAAGAAAAATGCTAGATTGCTGTGGGATATCCCTCCTCTTATATGGCAGTGAATGTGGGACAATCTCAGGGCTACTAAAAATTACATGGACAGAGTGAGCAAGCAACAAGTAACTCTTTAATAAAGTGGCAATGGAAAGAACACTTAGAAACAGGAAGAAATGGCTGAAATTCCATGGAAACAATGAGGAAAGAAGACTTGGAAAACATAACCCACATGGGGCATTCTGTAGGCAAAAGAGACAGAGGAAGGTAACAAGCCACTTATCTGATGAGTCTGTGTGAACGGATAACAGAATGGGAAACAGGAGCCTTAGCAAAGGGAGAAAAGCTGTTAAAGGCAACAAGGGATAGGAAGCTGTGGAGAGATATGATCGCTTATGTTCTGAAGGGATGCATCACATAAAAGAAGAAGAAATATCAATGCTGGTTGGTTGTTTATCATCATATTAACCGTTTGGTTGATATGCCGCCAAACAGTTATAAGGTTATTTAATGCAAAGCTAAATGTTTCTACAAAATTTTATTTTTGGAAATAATAATGGTTTAGTGATACAAGTCTTACTAACTCATAGCTGGACAGGAGAAGAGGTGGATTCATACCTTTCCCAAGAGTATTTGCACATAAGTGAATATTACAAACCCAACTGGGATTAGAACTCTGCTGTCCAATTAACAATTCTGAGCCATTTGACATTACACCATCCACACATCCAAACTTACAACACTTGGCATTCCCAAGCAGTCACCCATCTAGGTACTAAGAAGGCTTGACCTTGCTTAACTTCAGTGATCATACAGGAAAGTGTTTCAATGTGATGTGGCTATAAGCCAATATCAGTTAGGATTTTATAAGTAGTTAGAAGGTGAGTGATACAGCTGGATCTTCCTGTTTTAGACAAGAGGTATGTTAGTTTCTGCAAGCCAATGCGGTGTTTTCTCAGGTGTGATCACTAGTTTATTAAACAAACTAACATGTACATGTAAAAGAACAAAGTAAAAAAAAAAAATACTTGGGTACCTTATTAATACCATGAATCTGCAATGTTATTGATCCTGACCTGGCATCTCACCTTCAGTCACTTTCCCATTGTCGTAATGTAGCTTCCCTGTACCTTTTCTATAAATACTTTCATGGCAATTGTTCTAATGAACTTTCCTCTATGGTATTTAGACTTTAAGAATTTAAGTGCAGTACTAGATTGGCAGCTAGGTCTCATCATTTTACAGTTGAAATGGCTAGATGCAACTATAAGTTCTATGCTAACAGTTTCTTCTCTTGCACTCCTCTCTTGTGGAACTCTTCTCGCTTCTTGCTTCCAAGTCAACTTTCAAAGATTTAAATGCAATGTCATCATTATCTTCTGTCTTCTTAATTCTTGTTCTTTTATTGTCCTTTCTTCTTAATAGCATATTTTTCTCATATTCTCTAACATTCAGTGAATTTGTATGTCTTATTGGCGTTATGCCTTAATGGGGTGAAAAAAATTGTCAATTCATTGTGCGAGTTTATCATCAACTTTCTTGTCATTGGAGATTTTTCATTTAAAATTTCTGTAGTTTGATCTTTCTCTGACAGTTCTTCAATTTGACATTTTCCTACTTCTCAGTCTGGAATATTTCACTTGAATTTGATCATTTTTTTCATATCTACATATTTTTTGAGATTTTAACTGTCCTCTCCTCTTTTACTGTTTCCTCAACAGATGGCATATATATATATATATATATATATATTTTTCTTTTTTTTTTTCTTCTTTTTGTAATGGTTAGCAAGCTTGTCTCACAGGATTAATTATGACTGGGTAGCAAGTTCAATCCACACTGGGTGCTCCACACTTTTGGCCTTGAGCCACATCTCAGCAACATGTAGAAAATCATTTCAGGCACTTCAATGTGTTGTAATGGTTAGCAAGCTTGTCTCACTAGATCAATTACGATTGATTTGTGAGTTTGATCCTCACTGAGTTCTCCTTAATCTTGGCCTTGCACAACAATTCACTATATATTTGTTCTTCTGCCTTACTTTCCTATCTTTTCTGGCATTAATATATTCAACACATCTAAGTTCATCCTGCACTGACAGTTCTTTTACAAGAGGTTTCTTTCTCACTCTTCACTATTTCTTTGTTTTTTGGCAATTTTTTTTTTTTTACAGTAAGGCTCACTCTGTACAAGGCCTGGGGCTACTCATAGTAGAGGGTTACATTAAGGAGTAGATTATATGAATAGGATTGGAAGATAACCGTTAACTCTAGACTTGAACAGTTTAAGATTGAAGTGATTGGGGGAAACATCCTCTTGGGAATCGGTGGGTTACAATGCAAATGTCATGGTGGGTCCTTGCCTTGATGGTTAGACCAGGCGGAACTATAAGAAATTTAAGCTGATTAAGAATGCATCGTCTGCTTTTCTGAAAGAAAACAAGTAGTTTTAGGCACTAGCTTAAACTATTGACTTTCAAAAAAAAATATTTGTGCATCCTTCCAATTTGTGGAAAGATAGCAGCATGTGTTTTATTTTGGCATTAATCAGAGGTCTTTGCTTCAAATCTCGAGACCCAAGCTGGTCTTGGTGCATAAAAGAAAAGAATTCAATTGGATCAAAAAAAAGAACAAGAGACAACATCATCAGCTGCAAGGAAAGGCTAGATCACTCTGGTCCAAGAGTCAACATCAGCTGCTGATTGAATCCAAGTCACTCCATTCAAGGAGCTACAAAAAAATAAATTTGACACCGCCAAGCAAGGATTGAAAAGAAAATCAAGATCACTCCTTCATCTAAGAAAAATTCTTCGACTGGTGTGAAATCCATTTCTTCACTGTTACCAAGAAGGGTCACTACAGACGTACCTTCTACTTAAAAAGCATTCAGAGAAGTACTACCTTTCCTTTTTCTATATTTGTTTTAATGTCATTTGACTTTCTGGGGACCTCATGCAGCATATTCTATATTTTTATTTTAAAAACAGCATACTTTGTTTGCAGTACATCCTTTATCGTAAAAAGGTAAAATTTTTGCACTATATACTTTTATTTGCACATACACATTATTGGCCATACTTGACACACAAAGCACTTAATTTGTGTAATTCCTTTCATTTTATATGTTCAATAAATTTAACATATTTCTCTATTATTTTTTTTTTTTTAACTCGGCTCATGTTGTCTTTGTTGTGTGCTTTTGTCATTATACATTAACATAACCACAAAAATTTGTTTGCACTATGATACCATTTTTTCATAAGGTTTTTTATCTCATAATAAATCCTGAAGAACCAAGGAATATAGTTTGCCCAAGAACTTTCCGTTAAGGTAGCAATAGAGCAGTGAGGAGCTTGCTATATCCTGCCTGTAAGAGAGCGGTTGGATGATGGAAATAATTCTCCAACAAGGACTCAGATACGCTTTTGAACTATCAAGACTGAAGAGTGAGGACTGGGCAGCTCCCACTGACATAGCAACGGTACTCCATTTCCTAATTATTTTCCTTAAACACTCAGCATCTTCCATATTCTTAAGCTTGATCTTTGCAAATTCATTGAATATTTCAGCCTTTATTTATCATGTCCTGATTATTTTTCTCTACCACCCCACCAAGGCTGATCATTGTTCGTCCCTTTGTTGCTGTCGATACCTACACTTGCCTATGCTAATCCGTTATTACACCCTTTAAAACTTTGATCCATTTTATCTGTTGATTACACGTGAACTGCATTTACTTTTGTTCTCTGTCATTTGCTGTTGTGTTAAGATCCATTTCAATTTTTCATCTTATTTCATTTAATTCTGCAAGTCATAGTAACACTCGCTAGCAGGCAGATTAGGTTTAAGGCTCCAAGTTCTCCACTCAGAATTGTCCCACAGGACAATAGCCTAGTGGATTAAAGGATTGATTTGTGAATATGGTGGCATAGTAATTGTGAGTTTACTCTTGATCTGGGGAATGTGTACTTGTATGAGCAGAAACTAAGGAGTACTAAAATAAGAAATAGTCAAGATGTCCCTGTTGTACTCGTATGCAAATTTCCACCTTATAAATAGCAGTTGATAGAGCTGAAGGCTAAACAAATCTTGACCTAAAAGACAAAACTACTAGAGAAATAGTAGTGAATACTATTGGCGATAGTTTACAACAATCCCTAGATATGGTCAGTGGAATGAGAAGTCAATTTAGACCAGTGATTCTCAACTGCTATGGCATGGCACAATGGTGTACCTCACGATCCTCTTAAGTGTGCCACAAAATACTGTCATGGCATACATATATGTGGTGGTGGTGGGAGGGGCGGGGGTCATAATGGTACAGCATTAGTATTTTACTCAATCAGCCGCACAAATAGCTGAATTGAAACACTAAAATAAAGCAAGTTCATATTTGTACAAGTATGTTTTTTTTTTTTTTTAAATCTGTGCTTTTATTTCATAACATTTAAATGTAGACCCTCAAAAATAATTGATGATTCCGCCATGATATTTTCATTTGCTCCTAGGTCTGCTGTTGATTGAAAAGTTTGAGAAACGTTGATGCAGCCCCTTAGAGGCTTCAGTTAAAATTTCCGGGGGGGTACATTGAGAAGCACCTGATGAAAGCCAGAGGAAACAATATTGGCTGAATATTGTGATTAAAAAAACAACAAAGATGGGGACATTATCAATGAAAAAAAAAAAAAAGAAAATTACACCAAATCACTATTTTAAAAAAAAAAAAATTACACCAAATCACTATTCAAAAAAAAAAAAAAACACCAAATCACTATTTGAAAAAAAAAAAAAAAATTACACCAAATGACTATTTAAAAAAAAAAATTACACCAAATCACTATTTTTAAAAAAAAGAAAAGAAAATTATACCGAATCATTATTTAAAAAAAAAAAAAAAAAAATTACACCAAATCACTATTTAAAAAAAAAAAAAAAATATTGCATCAAATCACTATTTTAAAAAAAAAAAAATATTGCATCAAATCACTATTTAAAAAAAAAATAATATTACATCAAATCACTATTTAAAAAAAAAAAAAATATTACATCAAATCACTATTTAAAAAAAAAAAAAGAAAAAAGTGTAGTGGCTGTGACATAAATGATTCCAACCGAAGTCTGATTTAATGTCCGTCTGATTTCATACTTATATCGAGACCTAATCACCTGTCCAATTTTGCACCAAAGCTCTTTGAGACCACAGCATGGGAGCAACTATTTAATGAACACATATGAATAATGAAAACAATAGGGCCACAAAGCCAGGAAGTGGACAGTATATTAAAGCCAACTGACCAGCACTACTTTTTAGGAGCCAAGTCGACTGGATCAGGGGATGGGAAGGGAGGGGGTTGGCAAATTAGAAGATAATAAATGCACAAATGTGATAAATAAAACTTGATGACAGAAAGTTGGTATTTACAGGATGTTTGTCAACATGTAGTCTCACCTAGACATGAAAATTGCCTAGCTTGATACTTCCTCCGATGACCAACTAATTGACGTTAAATGGTCAGTTTATTGCAATAATATTTTGCAATTCATTATCCTGTGATTGTTATGGGTTATTAGGACAGAATCTCCATAAACCTTGACCATTGGTCAGACAGTATTGTCAATGCCTAATATTAAATAGTGAAATCCTAAGCTTTAAGTAAGCCCAGTCCCAAACTATAGATGAATATAAAAATAAACTTTATGCATAGAGGATTTTGCTTTTAAGTGAAATTCTTATCATAGAATCTCAAAATCTTTTTGTATAAAAACGTAAACAAGGTGATTTTCTAAAGAAGTAATGGATTTTTTTTTTATTTATTAACCCAACAGATTTTATCTTTAT